GGGGGGGACACGCCCTTGCGTAGCGCACCCTCCGCAAGGACAAAATGGTAGAGCCCAACGTACCCCGCTCCCAGCTCGGGCCGTGGGGGGCGTCGCTAGAGCCGGCGCCAGCGCCATGGTGCGGCCGCGAGGGACCCGTTATCTTCTCGCCTCAGCGTCGGGGCGAGCTCCTTGGTGCTGCTCGCAACCCGCCCCACCCCGCCCCCCAATACTGAACGGCCGTCAGGAAAGAAAACTGCAGCTACGATGCCCCTGACGTCACCCTGGAACATCCTGACGTCATCCTGCAAAGCCTCGACGTCGCCACATCCCCTATTCAAAATGACTTGCTGGCTGGAGCGGAGTTGTTCTTGCCGTGTTTCTCTGTCCTCCCCACCCGGGGGCCCCTTACGTGTTGTCACCTAAACCGCTTTTCTTTCTCACTGCTCCCAGTTTTGGGCCCCACAGGGTGCCAAAAGGAGAGCCTGACAGCCAGCTTCCCAGCCAAGATTGGAACCACCAAACAGAGAGTAAAGCAGGCACGACTGAATCGGGTTACAACCCTCATCTGTCCTGCAAGTGCAGGCCAGTATCAGCCCAGGGCTCGAGCACTCACCTGCTGTTAGGGGGTTTGCAACTGGGTACAAAGGTTTGATGCTGCTGGAGATACGGAGATTCACGTTTCTTTTTCTGATCATGAGTCCACTTCGAGAAACTATTTGCCAAGGAAATTTGTTCCTGGCTAGTCCCTAAACATTAAACCCCACATTGAATTGTGGGTAGTGCGTAATGTGTATTTTTCATCATTTATATTGTCTTCAAATTATAATTATTTAACATTTCAGTAGTTTTACTACATTTAAAGTTTCTATTTGTTCTTCAGCTGATTCCCTCCCCCAGGGATTTGAATCCCAAGCTACTGCAGATGTTATCAGCAATTCCTGTTTTTATCTTCAAGGACTACAAAGATTCAATTAATTGAAATAGAAAAAAAATAGAATTTTTTTCTGTCATCTTTTATTCTAGACTTGAGACTGTTTCCATTTAATGTCTTTGGTCTTTTGTATCTTGGCTTGAACAGGGAAATGGGAACTATTCTCAGAAAGAGAATGGGATTCAAACCACCTTCTGTACTGAGAGGGAGCAAAGCACAGCCAATCATCAAATATGGTTTCTGAAACTACTGGAAAAGTTTTCATAGGTATTTTTCAAAAACAGACCAGACCAATTAAATAGCTGAATAAATTACATGATTTACAGTTAGCTCATTTTGATGCTTCCCCCTTTTGTTTCTCCACCACAGTTTCAGAATTATTTTGGCTCTAATTCAGGCTAATGCTTAAGCGTGTGCCTAACTTCAGGTTATTTTAAGCAAATTTTGATCTTTAACTTAAGTCAGAGATGGGACCATTCATATGGTTCGAGCTGGGTCCATACTTACATACCTTGCTGAACAGATGTGTTTACAAGTCATGATCTCTAAAAAGTTAATGATTTATACTATTTCAAGCTGGCAGCACAACCAGGGTACCAAGATGACATCCTGGATGCCATGAGATCTTTTTCATGGGATGCCAAACAATATCAGCATTGTTAAATATGCAAGCATCTAAACATGATTCACAAGGTAAAACTCTGACATTTCAAATACGAATCCATAGTGTCAAAAGTATTCCAATATGGTGTGGACTTTAAGTTCTTTGCAACAGAAGAATTATTCTAATTATTTTTCAGTGGTCAAAAAAAGAGTGAAAGCTAAAAGCTAGTAATTTCCTAGGGTTGCCTTGAGTCTAAAGCAGTGGTTCCCAACCATTTGTTGCTGCAACCCTAAATTGGCCATCGACAGGACTTCCCAACCCAATGCTGCAGGATTTGCCGGGAGCAGAATGCGGCAGCGGCCCAGGGGCGGGGGAGCAACCACTGCCCGCTGTGTGTGCCGTGGCCCCACCCCACCTGCTTTCCTGCTGCTCCCAGGCCACGTGCATGAGTGTGCATGTGCATTTGTGTGCGGGCCCTTCACAACCCTACTGAGGATCCCCCACAACCCCGATTTGGGTTGCACCCTGAGGTTGGGAATGAATGGTCTAAAGAGTGGTGCCTTGAATCTAATGAGGTAGAGAACCATTGCTTTATTTACTTGTGTTTCAATAATTTTCTCTTGAAAGTTTAATTTTATACAACTAAGTGGAATGTTAAAGGTGATGTGTGAAATGTAAAGATACTTGCACTAAAGAAGACCTTACATAGACTTGCTGATCTGGAGGTTTAACATATCAGTGTCTTGTATGATTCCATGTAGGACTGCAAATCAAGTTATCTACTAATAGCATTTCTTTAAGATATTTTTTAAAAGCTAACAAGACCACTTACATTTAATAGGATTTTTAATTACAGTTATTTTGATGCTACAGAGTGAGATGTGGAGAGGGCTGACATTCTTCATCAGGACCATCATGATTCGAAAGTTGGTCTAACTTTATTTCAACCATGCAGTTGGTCCAATAAAAGATATCACTCCCAAAAAATCCTTACCTAAAGGATTACTTCTAAGAGTATAGCAAGAATACCAAATGCCATTCAAGAAACTGTGTTGTAAACACATGATACCACAGTATCCATTGCATAAAAAAAAACAAATAATTTTGTGGATACCAGTATTCCTCTGATGGAAAACTCAAGTTCCTCAAAATATCTTAGGTTGGAAAAATCATTTAAATGTCTCATCTGAAGCAACTCAGGTCAAATTCATCCCTAAACCAACTGTGGTGACTTCAATATTAGGACTGACTAAACACAATTGGTAAATCAAACTGCTATGAAGAAACCAGTGACTTGATAACACTTCAAGATCCTGGAAATCCACCTGTAGCAGGGCACTAGGATGCCTGCTACTGGTAACAGTAAAATGGGCTCAGCTGCCACTCACCAGGGCAGCACAGGTGGGGGTTGCTGAGGCAGCCGATTGGGTGAGCTGACCAGAAGGGGGCAGGGCCTGGCCTTTATAAACAGAGAAGGCTGAGACCAGAGTCAGTTCTCCTCTGGCAGTCTCAGAAGTAGGAGCTCTGTGGGCCTAGTAAGGAAGCCAGATGGCTTAAGCAGTGTTAGCATGGTGATATGGGGTGGAGAGAACCCTGAGAGGGATACAGACAAAGGACAGCCAGGTTGGCTTAGGTTTTATGTTATAGTTAAGGGGCTTTGTGTTTCTGTTCTGGTTGTGATTATGAACCGGAGGACTGGGCAAAGCTGTAGGGGTGGAGGAGGCCTCAGGGGAGCTCCCCAGTAGCATGGGGGTTCCTGGCACCACAGAGTGCTGTGTTCTGGGGGTGTCCCAACCCCAGCCCTGGAGTAGGCAGCATTGGGAGGAGCCCAGTGTGGGTGCAGGTGAAATGCCCCAGTGGGGTGTACAACCCGAAGAGCGGGTCTGGAGGCCAGGTAAGGCTAAGGCTGCCTGAGCCCCAATTGGGGGGAAAAGCCCCAGTGTGGCATAGGACCCAAGAAGGGGTCTGGGGGCCAGGTAAGGCTGAGGCTGCCTGAGCCCCAATTCGGAGAAGCCCAGTGGGCATAAGACCCAGGAAAGGGGTCTGGGGCCAGGTAAGGCTGAGGCTGCCTGAGCCCTGTTGTGAGAAGGCGCCGGTGCGAGCGGGGAGCGCGAGGCACAGGCCCTGGTGCGGGCGGGGAGCGCGAGGCCCCAGGAGAGGGCAAGCACATTGGGCAGGCCTTGGGAGGCGCAAGAGAAGTGAGGGGCCCTGGAGAGGAGCCCTAGGAGTGGACATCTAGGGACACGAGGGCCCGGGGAGGGCAAATACAAAGGCAGGCCCAGAGTGGGCGCCAGTATAAGGGCAAGGCCCCAGGGTGGGCTACGAGAGCCCAGGAGATAGGCCCTAGTGTGGGTGAGAGCATGGGAGGCAAGCACCGGTGCCGCGAGAGAAGCGAGGGGGCACCCGTGTGGGCACAGGTGGGCGATTGGACCAGAGGCCCAGTACAGGAAGACAGACCCCATGCCAAGGAAGGCAGCCTCCCGTTGATATTTACCAGCAAGATGTGGCGAGTGAGATAGAGGGTGCATTCAAGACCCAATTTGGCACAGTAGGTAGGGGCGCTAGTGGAGGTCACGGCACCCCTAAGGACGCCCTGCCACACCATCTTATTAAAGACTACTTAAAATGGATGAGTAGAATAATAAAAAGTCCTTTTTCAAATACATAGGAAGTAAAAACACACTGGGTAATGTGGGGCCCTTACAGGATAGGCTTGGCAATCTGGTGATTGTGGCAAACAGAAAAGCTGACCTCTTTAACGAATTCTTTGCCTCCATATTCCTAAACAGGGACTGGGACATTTCCCCGACTAGGACTATGGACAGACCCAGGGGAGGCACCACCATGCCTAGGGCCAGGGACAACCTAGTTAGGGAACTTTTTTGAGGGGCTGGCTGTGTTTAAATCAGTAGGTCCAGATACTCTTCACCCAAGGGTGCTGAGGGGGTCATAGTGGAGCCCCTGGCACAGCTCTATAAGCACTCATGGGGCACTGGTGAGGTACCAGAGGATTAGACAAGGGCCGATGTGGTCCCCATTTACAAGAAAGGGAGAAAAGAGAACCCTGGCAATTAGAGGCCAGTCTGTCTTACCTCGATCCTTGGGAAGACCTTTGATGAAATTATCAAGGAGCACATCTGCAAGGGCCTAGCAGGGGAGGTAATGCTCAGGGGCAACCAACATGGGTTCACTGAGAGCAGATCCTGTCTGACTAACCTGCTTTTTCTTCTTATGATTGTAGCAGGCAGGACGCCCTAGGGGTCGCCGTGCTTTCCGCTGGCACCCCTTACCATGTCCAGGTTGGCTACAAAGCACCCTTCATTCTTGCCCGCCACATCTTTGCTCATATATTATAGGAAGGCTGCCTCTTCATCTCCCTGGACATGGTTTACCTCCTGCTACATTAGCCCAGCTCCGCTAATGGGTGTTCCTGGGCACCCCAGCCTTACCGGCTATGCGTGGCTCCAACCATCCCTGTACCATGCCCCAAGCCTCGCTGATGTCCCGAACGTTGTTCCGTCTTAGCAGCAGCCCTTGTCTTGCAACTGCGCCTCTTTGAGCACTCAGGAATCACTACCCCCTGCTCTGGGGCTTCTTGCTGCCCCTTGCTCGGGGGTTTGGGGTCAGCACACCTCCTCAATGCTGCGCCCTCACTGATGCTTGAGTTGGCACACCCATTTTACAGCAGCTTCTCATGTGTTTGGGGTCAGCTTACCCCAATACTGCACCCTCTCTGGTGCCTGGGTCCCCAAGCTGCCATGGACCCCCTAAGAGGCTTCCTCCATCCCCTTATAGCCTCTCCCAAGCCACCAGTTGTAAACAGTAAACACAAAACTCAAGCCCCTAGGCCATAACGTAAATTTCTGCCACTTGGCTAAAACCTCACTCAAGCCACCCCCATCCCTCACCCGTACCAACTGCTCTTGCATTTTGACCTCTTCTCTTACTCCAGCAGAGTCCCTACCCCTTTAGCTGCCAGCAGAGACCTGCTGGCCTGGCCTCTGCCCTGGGTTTAAATGGGAGCCAGGCTTACCCCTTCCAGTCAGCTGACTCCCACCGGTTGCCCTAGCAACATGCACCTGTGCCTCTTCATTACTACTCCACAAGTAGCAGGTACCTCAGTGCCCTGCTACAACGATCAGGTCACAAAGTCCCTGGACAAGGGTGTTGGGGGGGATTTTGTCTTCCTGGACTTTAAGAAGGCCTTTGACATGGTTTCCCACCACATCCTCTTAAAAAAAACTTGGTGACTGCGGCATTGATGCCTACACAGTCAGATGGGTGGCAAATTGGCTAGATGGTCACACCCAGAGAGTGGTGATGGTGGACGGGTCATTTTTGACCTGGCAGGATGTTGGCAGTGGAGTCCCCCAGGGCTCGGTCCTGGGACCTGTACTGTTCAACATCTTTATCAGCAATTTGGATGTGGGTGTGGAATGCACGCTGTCCAAATTGGAGGTGGGCAAGCTGGAGGGGAGGGACAGAATCCAGCTAGATCTAGACAAATTACAGAGGTGGGTGGATGAGAATAGGATGGAATTCAATGCAGACAAGTGCAGGGTAGTGCATGTAGGGAGAAGGAACCAGCAATGCACCTATAGGCTGGGGAACACCCTTCTTGTCAACACGGTGGCAGAAAGGGATCTTGGAGTCATTGTTGACCCCAGGATGGACATGAGCTGCCAATGTGAGGAAGTGGTAAGTAAGGCTAACCGCATCTTGTCGTGCATCTACAGATGTATGACAAGCAGGTCCAGGGAGGTGATCCTTCCCCTCTCTGCAGCATTGGTCAGGCCACAGTTGGAGTACTGCATCCAGTTCTGGGCACCACACTTTAAGAGGGACGTGGCTATTATTGAGAGGGTCCAGAGGAGGGCCACTCGCATGGTCAAGGGGCAGCAAGGCAGGCTCTACAAGAAGAGGCTAAAGGGCCTGAACCTATTCAGCCTCCACAAGACAAGGCTGAGAGAGGATCTGGTGGCCATTTACAAACTCACAAGTGGGGGGGACTAGCGAGAATTGGGAGAGGCTTTGTTCCCCCAGGCACCACCAAGGGTCACTAGGAATAAGGCCACAAATTGTTAGAGAGAAGGTTCAGGCTGGACATCAGGGGACATTACTTTACAGTTAGGGCTGCCAGGCTCTGGAATGGGCTCCTAAGTGAGGTGGTGCTCTCTCCTACCTTGGGAGTCTTCAAGAGGAGGCTGGACTGATATTCAGCTGGCGTGATATGACCCTGGCACCTGCTCCTGCCCAGGGCAGGGGGTTGGACCTGATGATCTGTTTAGGTCCCTTCCAACCCTAAGTACTATGATACTATGATACAGGCAGTCATCAGACTTATGACACAATTGGTTCCTGAAAACCGTGTCTTAAGTCAAAACTTTGTAACTCAGAGCCAATTTTCTCATAAGAAACAAGGTTATAAATGTGGGAACAGTTCCTGAACCAAGGCCCGATACCCTATTTTCACCAAAAATACCCCATAATTTTGTACTCGATCAATTATAGATGAGTAATATAGCTACATTAATGTATTTATATTGTAAATAGCAATCATTGATTTGGAAAGACTTCTTTAAGGTGACTTTGCTGGACTTTTTGAAAGGCTCTCGGTTGGACTTTTTGAAGGGTTCTTGGCTGGAGTCTTCTCAGGAGTCTTGGCTGCAGGTTTTTCTCGAGTCTTGTCTGCTTTCTTAAAGAAAGCATCCAAGGAAATTTGGACAGATGTTCTTCAGGGCGATGAGCGACATGGCAAACTTGTTTGCTGGCATGGCATGGTATTGGATCAAGCATTGTAAGTCGAAACTGACATCATAAAGTTGAAACAGGGTGTCAATTTATAAACATTGTAAGTGTTAAATGTTGTAATTCAAAACGAGGACTGCCTGTATGTAGAAAAAAAAAAGCCTTGTGGAGGTGGCAGAGGTAGAGGCAAAAAGCCACTTGCAAAATATCCTATTTTAAAGCAAATAATTTTTTGCAGTAGGAACTTACAAATTGCCATTTTAGAACAGGCCGCTGATGGATGTAGCCATGCACCTCGTTATTGTGGAACCAAGTGCTTCAGGAAAAGATAGAAATGTCTTATAATACTATAAACAGTTCTGTAATCTTAGTGAGAAATTTCTTCTTCACCCTCCATAATTGGTGAGTGTATGTCCTGAGCTTCATGTCAATTAATGTAAGAGTTTCATGACAATTATTGTATCTAGAGTAGTTAAATAACTGTTACTTCTGGTTTTATTCGTGTATTATGAACATCCATCTGAACCTTGCTGAGATCTTACAGAACTATTTATCAGAATAAATCAGAGACAATGGGGTTCACAAACTGATAGAGCTATGCAAAGGCAAATTTCCTCTTCTTTGCTTTCTACTTGTTGCCTTATAATTTCATAACTTCCCTTTCTTCATGGCTCTTGAATCTCTTGTGCCCCACACAGAACCTAATTTTCACTGTTCTCTGAGTTCTTTCTGATTCTTTTGCATGGTAGGTTACAGTGAGCAGGGAGTTTATTCCTTGCTCAGATCTTGCCCCCGAGTCATAAATTAACAAAGCAGGGAACAAAAACCCAGTCAGCCTATGAGCACAGAATGCAGCACAATTGAAGTCACAAGGTAACTAGCATTTCTGAAAATTGGGTTCTTTCAAAAACCCAGCTTGGGAGAAATTTCCTTTTTAGATTGTGCCATATTGGAGAAAATAGAACCAGTAGAGCTGTTCTTTTTTTTTTTTTTTTGGTCATGCTATAATGAAAAGCGAATTTCACTTTTTGTTTAAAGTTAAATTATTCTGAGTGCTATAATATCCACACACTTACTTGGATTGTCTTAAAATTTGCTGTACTTTCTTGGAACACAGGGTATAGGTCTGTTTTGGAGATGCAGCTGGCTATCTTCTTATCTAACTAGTATATTTTAAAAGAATCTGACAGGGTTCCAAGCTCATTATGAGTTCTGAACAAATAGACCCTGATTTCAATGGGGCCCTGCACAATGGACCTCATGGAGTCAGGGTCTTCCCACATGACAAGATCAAAACCTAAATGACCTCTTCCACTGCTGACTCACACTCCCAGCTTACACTGAGCTTTATTTTTGCTCAAGTGTCCTGTTTTTCTTGTAGCACAAGCTTGTTGTGGGCACAGCATGTTGACATTTTTGCTAATGTTTGCATGGATCACCTTGTACTTCTGGGATCTCCTACAGACACAGCTTAATACAAAATGATTATACAGATGTATATAGGAGTAAATGGAGTGTTGCTCGCTAATTTGGTTAGCAAAGTGATTGTAATAGTAAGTTGGGAGAAATAATGTAAACAAATGGCAGAGAAGGTACCAGCCTGTCCTTCCCTGTTGGAAGGAATGGGCCTGCTGTTATATAGATTGGCTTAGACGTGGATTTGGCTTTAGCTTTTCAGCTTTTTCCCTGCAAACCAAGACAGCAGCTGGACCAAGACTGCTTCTTGCAGTCTGTTCCTGGCAAGAAGAGTATAGCTCAAATTATGGAAACATTAAACTACTGCAATGCATTGGACTTGAAACTTGGAACCAGGTAGAAACATAGGCTGATACAGAACAGGACTGGATAGTTAGTCATTCTTGCTTTATTCAGAGAATGCCATGATTATGCATGTTCTGCACACCTGCTGACTGATTTTGGGAGAGATTATATCTATGAAATCCTGAATGGGTTGAGATTATTTATTCATGAGATCATCACCTTGAAGTACCTTGTGATCTTAGTGTAGAGCCACTTTTGGAAACAGAGTCTTGTTGATTCAAGGATTGTAGTAATACAACAATAAGAAGCCCTCCTCTAATGCTTGGAGGAGCCCTGCTTGCCTTCCTGTCTGGAAGGTAAAATGAGATGTGGCAGTTTAGGGAAATTTGATGAGGAATTGGTGAGAAGAGCTGGGGAATTCTTGTGACTCTTCTCTTCCTTTCAGGAGGTGGCGCAGGCACCAGGGCTGATGAAGAAAGCAGAAGTATTGTTTTTGGGAGCTGTGTAGGGTGGTTAGGAATTGTTTAGGGTGGTTTATAGGTTACCTTTAAACCATCATAAAGGCACTTAAAATGGAAGCATTCACCCTTTAAAGCAGGGGCAGGCAAAGTACAGCCTGTGGACCAGATCCAGCCCACCACAAGATTTCGTCCAGCCCGTGGGCAGGTGCCTACCAATTTACTGTATCTTGGCTGGCCCCAGGCTGCCCATGCTATGCTCACATAGGGCCAAGTCCTGCTCACTCCCACAGGGCCAGTGAATGCTGCACTCTCACCTTCGCCCATGGGATGGCACTGACCCCAGCTCCACAGGTAGGGAAGCAGTGGTGGGTGGGGGAGGGGCAGTGGTGGCAGATGGGAGAAGTGGTGGTGGTGGCAGGAGGCAGGGGGGGAGTGGCCATGGGTAGGCAGAAGGAGGGGAGGGGAGGGAAAGGGGGGGC